TGTACCGTTAAAGGTAGTTTCTGATCGTGATTCTCGATTTACCTCAAATTTTTGGACTAGTATGCAAAGAGAACTAGGGACTCGTGTCGCTCTTAGTACCATGTATCACCCCCAAACCGATGGACAGTCAGAGCACACGATTCAAACAATGGAGGATATGTTACGAGCTTATATCTTGGAGTTTGGTGGAAGCTGGGATTACCACTTGCCACTTATAGAGTTCTCGTATAACAACAGTTATCACTCCACGATCGGCATGGCTCCCTTCGAGGCTTTGTATGGACGTAAGTGTTGTACGCCTCTCTGTTGGCAAGAAACCAGAGAGAAAGTGTTGGCTGGACCAGAGTTGATTCAAGTCACACATGATAAGATACGAGTTATACGTGAAAGAATGAAAACAGCCCAAGATCGACAGAAATCTTATGCCGACAAACGACGACGACCGATTCAGTTTGAAGTGGGAGATATGGTGATGCTGAAAGTATCACCTTGGAAGGGAATTTTACAGTTTGGTAAGAAAGGGAAGTTGAGTCCACGTTTCATTGGACCCTTTAAAATCCTTGAATGTATCGGAAAACAAACCTATCGTTTGGAGTTGCTAGAAGAACTCTCCGGTATTCATGACGTTTTCCATGTTAGCTATCTAAGGAAATGCTTGGGTAAGCATGAGGAGACCGTTCCTTTGGCCGAGGTCAAGTTGGATAAAAGATTGAGGTACATAGAAGAACCCAAGGCCATTCTTAATGAAAGAACCGTTAATCTACGAAACAAGATCGTAGATTTGGTCCTTGTTAAATGGAAGTATCACCATGGTCCGAATTGGACGTGGGAGAACAAAGATCAAATGAAGGCTAAGTATCCGGAGTTATTTGAGAGACCTTGATTTCGAGGACGAAATTCTCAAAAGGATGAGGTATTTTAACATCCATCTTCCTAATACGCTTAATTATGTGTTGAAAATATCGACATTTCGGGTATGGTTTTGAGCATTGGGTTCAAACAATGGAATCTTTTTATTGGAGCTTGTAGGTTATCTCGTTTCGAACGCGTAGGCGAAAACCTCATCGAAAACGAAGTCCCGAGCAAAAAGTTATGCAAATTTTTTTTTAGTGTTTAGGGGTCAAAACGGGTACCCAGCCTGGTCAACCCGACCCAACTCGGGATTTAAGTCGCAAATCATCAAATCAGCCAATTTTTAACTCCGTTTTCTCTCAAAATCAGTCTTGGTGTTCTAAGGTGCGATTACACACACTTGGGAGTTAATCTATCCCTAAATCAAGTGTTTTATCAAGATTATTGAAAGATTTATAGAGAAATCAAAGGTAAAACTCATATTTATCCTTATTTGATGACATGCATAGAGT